TCTGATCATTTTTCAATTAATATGACAACACAGATCTAAAACGGCTATAGAAATACAGTACAGTCAACTCAATGTAGGAAATACAGCAGAATAGCTAATTCACGAGTTCCAGGGCCATACTGCTTGGGTAGAGTGATGGCTGTTGGTGTCTTCTAGATGTAACCTGGGTGAGTTATCTAACCCTTATTTTGTGTCATTTCAAGACATATTAACTATCCAATACATAAGAGATTATAGCGTTGTTAGGATTTAAAAACAAAACAATATCCTTTGCCATTGAGTTTGTTCCCTACCCACCAACAGTGACCCTGTAGGACAGAGTTCAATGGTTTTATAGGGTTTCAGAGGCTATAAATCTTGACAAGAGATGAGCTCTGGTGACCTAGTGGCAAGAAGCTGCACTGCAATCCCAGAGGTGCGCAGTTCGAATCCAACAGATGCTCTGCTGAATAAGGAGGAAAAACTTCTTCCTGTAGCAGTCAGATCCAATTTGATGATACACATACACACACACACACATTAAAAAATCACAAGAGTAGAAAGCCTTCTCTCTTGTGTGGCTTCTGGTGGACTCACATTGCTGTTTTTTAGTTAACAGTCCAGCATTAACATACTAAACCACCAAAGCGCCATTGTTATTAATACGTGCCATGAAGTCCACTGTGACTCACAGGGACCATAGGGATCACAGATTGACACCCTGCCCTGTTTTCACAAATGGTCCGATTCTCACAATCTCTGCCATGCTCATGTTATGCTGTTGTTGTTAGGTGCCATCAACTCAACCACGACTCACAGAGACCCTATGAACAACAAAGCCAAAGCTTGCCCTATCCGGTGCCATCCTCATGATTTGAGATATGCTTGAACCCGTTGCTATAGTCAGAGGGTCAGTCCATGTTGTTGAGAGTCTTCCTGACCCTCTTTTTCATCAGGGAGTAAGCTGGTGGGAGAAAGATGGTCAGTCTTCCCTTGGAAAGATCTGCATCCTGGGGACCTCAATGGCGAGTCTCCCCAAGTCAGGACCTGCTCCCCAGCCCTGACTTTGACTTGGACCTAGTTTTGTTACTGATGGTGCTGTGCAAATCACTCGACCTCTCTGGGTCTGCTTCCTCTTCTGTAAGATGAGGTTTTCTAGATAACTTCTGTGGTTTCTTTTCAGATATAAAGTTCTAGGAGTGTACTATTTGCCTTTCCCCCATATACATATCCTAATCAAGATGCACAAAGATGATAAAAACTCTATTATCAACCTTTTTTTTTTTAGGATTACTTTGGAGTACAAACAATACTGTATTTTCTCACAAAATATTTAAGTTTTACTTGAGTGAAGTTTTGCAAATAATAATTTTTTTTAAATTTAGTTTGCTTATTTTTCATTTCAATGAACATCTACAGAGATTTAGGAATTCCATTCATTCATTGTTGCACCCTTCTCCCCGCACAAACCCCTCCCCACGCCCCCCCCATTTGCTCCTCTCCTTGAAAAGCAAAAGAATAACTCCTTCATTGGTCCGTACCTCCCCAAACCCCACCCCCTACCCCCAAATATAATCCACTCTGCAACCCTCATTGCGTACTCCTACGATAAAAATAATGCCCTAAAATATACTTTTAGACTATTCTCTCCCCCATAGACTTCAATGCCGTAAACATATTTCATCCAGTTTTTCTCAGTCTTACCCCACCCCAATGCCAGCCTCATTCTACAACAGTGGCACCATATAGCATTTGTCCCTTTGTGACTGAGATACCTCACTCAGCATAATGTCCTCCAGGGTCACCCATTTTGAATAACATAATGGTTTTTTATACAGTCATTGAGAGAAACTTTTATCACATTGCCATTGATTAATGCAACTGATCACAATTAATTACAAGTCTAGCTATTTACTGCTTCAGAAAACTTGCTGCAGAATCTGCTATTGGTTAGTTCCACCTGGAGGGTACATCACTACAACAACAATTAACCCTTAATTCCTCGTATTTACTCACATCTAGTAAATGTTTCTCTCATATATCTGCAGCAAAGCCTTTTCAGGTTTATGAAGATTTACAACTGTACATTAATCCTTATGTGGAAAATACATTATCATGTAAAAGTTGGGACCTTTCCCCTAAAAAAAAAAAAACCCCAACAAACCCACAGCTATGGTTGTGTTTGTTGTACACCATAGAGTTGGAACCCCTCCACAGTGGACCTTCCAATGGGTTTTCAGAGGCAGTAAACTACAAGGGAGGAGATTGTTCACCCTTCTCCCACAGAGTGGCCCATGGATTTGAATCACATTCATTTGCATTGGCAGAGCAATTCCTTAACACCAAGACACCTGAGCTCCCTACCATGGCGTCAGTTCCGACTCATAGGCACTTGGGTTTCTAAAGCTGTTCAATCTTTACAAGAGAAACCAGTGATTTTTCGGTTAATAAGCAGCACATGTCAATTTGCAATGTCACCAGAGCAACTTGAAAGTGGCAAAGAGGCTCCAGAAATTATTTCACTCCAAACTTTACTACATAAAGATTTCCATTAATATTTTGTTATGCTTTTAGTCTTGGAAAAAACCCCCAACCTCTTATGTTTTAGGAGTGACACCTTGCATACTAAAATTTTGTGTTACCTTTATATTCTACGATCACTTTCACATATTTACAGCTTTCTATCTTTTGCAATTAATGTTCATTTTTCTTGCCTATTGCATTTTTGTGTTTTAGAATTTTAAAAAGTTTGCTTAAGTATATCACACCGTTAATTATTAAACACCCTCATGTGGTAGTACTGTAATTTATTTTAGGCTAGTTTAGAAATTGCAGTTTTTCTTCCTATATTTAATTTGATGCTGGGTGAAGCTTTCTTACGAGGCAAGTCAAAACCGCCATACATTCCAATTGTTTGTGTGTGTAGATGTGCTGCATGTGGAATTTCTTTTTTAAAAAAATTTACTTTTGTATCCCTTTCCCAATCACCCCCATAATTAAGCTGCTACAGTCCCCCAGGCCCTCTTCTGCAAAATGCACCATTCAACAAATGTATCAATTTATTGCACTATCACAAACTTTCCTTCCCATTTTTGAAAATAGGTTCCAGGCATTCTTCTTCTTCCTCTAAAATCCATAGAGCTGCGCTCCTCAATGGAACCACCGGGACTCCCGCAAAGTGGCAGCTGAACTTAGAGCAGTGCGGGAGTTTTAGGTTGCAGATAAACCAGGAATGCCTTTTGCCCCCTCCAGATGTCCTGTCCCACAGTGGACACCGGCGACTCGGGCCGCCAGGAGCTCGAGGCGAGGTGGCCATGGGCCCCCGCACGCGGAGGTGCGCAGGGTTTGACAGATGCATCTGCGCAGATTTTCCAAGCAGGACTGAGAGGAGGGAAAGTGCGCGCCGTCCACGTGACCTAACTTCACTTTCTGGTTTCAAAAACTGCGCTGTGGGAATCAACACCGATCTACATCTTTTCCTCCCAAGCGCTGGATAAAAAGTCTTGGAGAAATGGCCTTTCTCCATCCATCAGTGCATGGACCACCTTTTTGGCACGCACACCCCGTAAGGCTTGCAAACCCGCGCAGTCTCTTGCGCGAGGCAAGTGCGGCTCCGGGGACCCTCGGGAGAGGCGCAGTCCCACCCCCTCAGAACAGGCAAGCAACAGTTTGGGTGCGGAGCCTCCCTCCGGGCAGGACGCCACGGAGGCCCTCACACCTCTCGGAGCGCGCAGCGCCGGGCCCCGCTCCCTGCCACGCGCGGTTCCCGGAGACCACCGGCCCGGGGAGCCCCACCAAGCCCGCCTGCGCCTCTCCGCAAGTGGGGTGGAGGGGGTGCCGTGCGGCCGGGCGCATGCGCGCCGCGCTCCCGGGCGTGCCGGCCACATTCCCCCCACCCACTCGGCGAGCTTGTCACTTCCTGCCCTCGCCCCATCTCCGTCCGGGGTCAGTCAGTCGCTCCCTGTCGCTGCCGGAGAGCCCCAGCTTCCCCCTTTCTCCCCGCGCCTCAGCCGTTCGCTCGGGGCTCCCTGGGGAGGGGGCTGCCGAGCCGGACGGACTCAATAAAGTTTCCAGAAACAACCACTGCGGCCGCCGGCCGCGCAAGCGGGGCGACCCCCGTCCGTCCCCGCCCCTCTCCAGTCTGAGGGACCGTTGCAGGTGGAGCGGCGCCGGGGGAGCCGCACTCGGGGGCAGCCGTTGCCGGCCGAGGGGCGCCTCGGGTCCTGCGGGCCGTGACTGCGGCCCCTCCGGCGGCGGCCGCGGCTGCTGCGGGG